TCCTGGCTCTACCACTTACTTGGGTAACCTCACTGTGCCTCAGTTTCCTCATCTGTGAAAGAAAAGAATACTACTGCTTACTACATATGGTTGGCATGAGCATTAAATTAGTTAATAGGGTGTAAAGTTCTTAGAACACTGTGTGACACACAGTAAACTCTATGTAAGTGCGTTATTTTTACCCACTGACCACCACCATGTTCTCCCTATTCTTTGAAAGATTTTGTTCTCATATGACAAGTGAAAGAAAGAATTGGGATCCAGCCAAGGTCCAGTCAGGAGGCAGAAAGCACACCAGTAATCTGAACAGGGAAGATTCAGTTTAAAGAACTGTTAACTAGCAAACGGGGATTAACTACCAAGAGGGGTAAACGGAATTCTAAAGGATACAGAAATAACGGATAAAAGGAGCAGCCACTACCTCCAGAGATGACACAGAAAACCCACAGAAGGATAAACTTGGAAAAGGCCCTTCCTCCTCGCCAAAGCTGAGACTCAGAACTCACTGGTGGGGGCGTGGAGGGAGCCCACTGCACGGCAGAGAAGTTTGCTGAGCTGCTGCAGGCTGGGGTTGGCAAGCAGGAAACTGTGTGCTGGGTGATGGCAAAATCTGACTGGAAGCCGCCCACTGGCAGCTGTGGTGTAGGAGCCGGAAAAAAAGCGCTGAGATGAGGAAGAGACGGCCCTTCAGGCTTCCTCTGGCACCTTCCACAGACAAGGCCCGACTGTGGCGCTGGCTGCAGGGTCACAGAGCAGGGTGGAGACGGGTGTTTGTGGAGCAGAGAAGCACTAAGTTAACAACTGGCACACACCCCATCTACGTTCTCATAATTAAACAAAATGTAGCAGGACTCTTTCCTGTTTGTGTTTTATGTATTTATAGTGGTATGAAGAGGGCTATGGTTAGGGCAGCCCTGGGCTCCTGGATGTCTGCGACAGTCACAGTCATGCTTATCCACCCAGGATTATTAATGACGCCCCCTTTCGCTCTCAGAAATGCCCGTTTGGAGGATGGAGTATGTGGTCACACTAACTCCTGATGTATCATTTTCTTTCAAACTACTCCCACCGATAGTAGCTAGAAACACAATAAACACACACACACAATTCTGCTTGAAGAGCTACCAAGCAGCCCAGGTGCCGAGGGGCCACGATTCAGGGAGAAGAGAAGTGCACCCAGATGAGCGCGGCAGCCTGAGCGGCAATCCTCCTTGACGCATTGGTGGGTTTGTAGGTGGAAGAAACGAAGTGGCAGAGAAGCCGAGCAGAAAGCACTAGTTCTCAAGAGTAATACATGGTTTTAAAAATGGACATCTCAGTCTGTCTAAAAGAGTTCTTTTAATAGGTATAAAATAAAAAGTCTGATACGAAAGCACAGTATCCGAGTTAAAATGGCAGCATCTTTTCTTTCTTAATGCTGCATAATATAATGGTTCATTTATAGGTTAGGGCACCTTCGATTTGATGAAATATGGTATATTTGTTCACAGGTGTAAGTGTCTCAATAAAAGTGGAACTGCTGGGTCAAAGGACATATATTTGATAGATTCTGCTAAACTATCTTCAAAAAAACCTGAACAAAACAATATTGAACAGTGTCCATTTCCCCACACGATTTCCAACATTGGGTGTTACCAATCTTTAAAATTTTTTTTTCCTCTGACAGGCTCTCACTATGCCTACATTTCAGCTTCAGCCATGAGTGAAGGTAATGTGTGCTTCCCCAAATTATCATCATGCTCCACTCACGTGCAATGGCTTCAAATCTGCATCACACTTTAGACCCACACCTCTTCCTCCTCCTAAGGGAAAGTAAAGGGTCATTTCTCCACATGATGCTGGTGAGGCTCTTGGACTATTAGGACAGGAAGGGATCTTAGATGCCGCCAAATCCCAGGGGTTCTGAAAGACATTCAAGATGGTCCTTGCTGTTACAGGTGGCAGGGCATCTTTTCAATTTCTACTTAGATAAATAATAATTAAAATAATTCTTCAGACACCTTCTTGCCCCATGAACATGGTATGAATTCAGGAGCCTCTGAATGCCTGTTGAACAGCACCTGCAGCACCAGAAGTGTGTGTGTAACTCAGCTGCTCAGGTGGGTCCAAAGTGGGTTTTGACTCCTCTACAGCAACTTGTTAGTCATATTCTGCTTCATGTATAGCCATAATGGAATGCTGGCTGAAAATATAAAATATGAAAAGTTTGCTGAAATGAAGACCATAAGATGAAAATTCTACAAATCTGGCTCAAGATGATCTTCATTCACTAGACATGCAAATTGCATTTGGCTGATCAAAATGTTTATCTTGTATGTCAGGAAAAAACCAAAACCAGAAAATATAGTGATAATTATGTCCAATTCGGCCTTCATTATTAGGAATTAAGACTAGCCAAACCCACTTCATGATATTTGCAGAATGGTGCTTGGATATAGCAGCCAGAACCCTTCTGTTTTATATCATCATTTAGACACAAAAACATGAAAGTAATAAAAATAAACCCCTTTTTAAAGTGCAAGAAGCATAAATTCTAAACATTCATTTAGGAAAGCAGTTTTTGTCTATTTTTGATGCTACAATGAGTCATTAAATTTCATACATTTTAATATACATTTGTCCTAAGACCAAATATGATATATTCTTTTAAAAGTTATTTGTTAACAAAGCATACTTTTCCATTACATAATTAAAGTAAATTAAACATTTTGCATAGCATGGTGAATGGGAAAAGATTGAGACTAGTCTTACTAGATTATGGGTATTACTCAAGATTATTTTAACATTGTACACATCCCTAAAATAAGTTTCATTTTAAAAATCACTACTTTATTACGCATCACACAAATTATCAAATAATTAAATCATCTCAAAGTGTTGGCAAGGGTCCACATGACAAAAAGAATTCTCCAGTCAAGGTAGGCTAGAAAGTTCTTATCTGGTCTAGATCCATCAGTTTATAAATGAGAAAACTGAGACCATGAAAGGGTAGGAGACTTCCTTAAGGTCACACAGCCAGGGAGGGCCACAATTCAGGCTCTTAGTTCATTGCTCTTTAGGGTCAGTATGTATAAGGTTAAGTGATTTGAAGGTCTCAGGACACTTCTTTTTGCTGAAAAATCTGTCTGGTAGCAGGGGTTCTGACACTCTCCTTCTGGGTTCAGCATTCCTCTCTCCTTCCTCCTTTAGAGCCCCGGTCTCCTTGGGGACTAAGCTATTTTAATTCCCAAAGGTTGTATCACGGGCTGCCTTCCCCTCCCATGCAGCCGTGGATCAGTCAATATCTGTTGAACCATTGAAGGAGTAGGTCCATCAAAGGGGGAGTGAGAATGGAAGCCAGACCACCAGGGCCATCTTTGCTCATGGTTCATCAGATGGATTTCACCTGGGGGACTCAGGAGGGAGAAAGAGCAGACACTGTAAATGCTACTGGATTTGAGAAGACACTGTGTATGAGCCCGCAACTTTCTTCTTTTCTTAGGAAATTAACTCCTTTCAATTGAGGGGGGGAAATTATTCCCACCTGAGGGCAAATCATGCATTTACCTTTACTGCCTGTTCCATCTTTTGGGAGGGACTTATTTCAAAGCTTCACTCTCTGCTGCCCTTGATTTACTGTAGACTTGCCTACGCATGCTCCCAGGAGTCCTAATCCTGGCATGTTTTACACAGCTCTGCATCCCACCACCTGCCTGGTGCTTGCCTGATGGGATCTTGCAGGCATGCTGATCATCTCCTTTCTGAGCTCTTGCTCTGCATATGCATCCCTCAAAGTTTACAAAACCATCTGGAGAGACTCAACTACCTCCTCTCTCTGGGTATGTAACCCAGTCTGCACATGGCATTGAACTTCCTGAAAACACCACCTTCGGGAGGCCCCTGCCTTACACAGAACCTGTGCCTGTCTTCTCATCATCTGCCTGATCACTCTACTCTCTTCTGCTCCAATTTCAAGGTTTTCTACAATCCTACTGCTCGACACTTATCACCCTAACACAACCTGTTACTGTGGGCAAGTCACAATCAAGGCGATTATACATGATCTTTTTTCTGCCCCCATCACTTACTCATGCTGGATCCCCCAATCTATTGCCATAGTGTCCTACTGTTTGCCCTTCTGGCTTTCCCAGGAAAGCAGAGGTCACTAAATAGGGTGTCCAACATGCCAACAGAGGCCCAGGAGACAATCGAATGAGAAGACCCCTGAGGAAGAGAGAGGGGGTGGAGCTAGCTGAAGATACCCTTCCAGAGGGATGCAGGTTTCCAGCGGAGTTATCAATTAGAGACAGTAGGCACAGTTTCTAGAGCCCTCAAAAATGTTTACATTAAAAAAACTGGAATTAGAAGAAAAAAATAGAATGAATGTAACAATAAATCTTTGTTTTGCAGTAGCAAAATATAATTAAAAAAATTTTTTTTGGATGGAGGAAGGGCCCACGAAAACAAAAGTGCGTGCCTAGGGCACAGGACAGTCAAAATTCAGCCGTGGGTACAGTGGTTCCACTTTCTGGACATCGAGTTATTTGTATGAGACCTCTTGATTCTAAATATTAGGAATTCGCTTTAAAATTAAAACATATATGTTGTGGCCCAACGAAACACGTGGAGCTTAGCCTTCTGTCTGTTGAAGGCCAGAATGCCCATGGCTTGGCACGATTTCGGGGACACTTCTTCAGCCTGGGTGCCCGCGCACCCCGCTCGGGATGGAAGACGGGGCAGCAGAAAGCCTTCGGGGCACGACGAGGGTCTGAGGGTTAAATCCCCGCCCAGTCGGGTGGTGGAAGCTCGATCGCCACCTCCGCCCAGGCGCTCCCAGGGTGCCCTGCGGGAAAGCGCGGGCTTCGCTCACTCAGGGGTTTTCCCGCTCGCGCCGACTAGTCAGGAGGCGCGGGCGCGGCCGTGGGGGTGGGGTCCTCCCGCTCACTGGTCACCAGGGGGCAGGGCGGCCGCCGGGGGCATCTGCGGCCCCGGGGC